CCTTGATTGTGGTTGGAGGGCATCAGGGGCTACTGCTCTGGAGGGACTCCCCACCAGTGCAGTCACCTGACTGCCTGCAGCGCAGTGGTTAGACTACAGGCTCTGGGCTCAAATTGACCTGGGTTCAAATTCTGTCTAAGCTACTTCCAGCTATGTTTCCTTAGGCATCATAAACTAACCACAACTTCCTTGCCTGTGAAATGAAATAAAATGAGCACATTCCTTATGTTTAGATTTGCCCAGGGTAACTTAATTTGTGGGCTCCAGTGCAAAATGAAAATGTAGGGTTCCTTGTTCAAAAAGCAAGAATGAGCTTTTTACCTTCCTCCGTGGTTCCTCTGTCCGCCTGCCATGGAGTTTTTTATTTACTATTGAATGTTGTGCTCTCTCAGGCACAAAGATACTTGGCAGGCTAACGCAGACCCTCACAGGAGCCTGGGGCCCAACACCGAGAAAAAGCGAGCTGGGCCATGCGTCGGCCGAGGCTCCAAGCTCCCAGCACATGTTCCACTGTCTATCTAACTTTGTTAACAAGAGCTAAATTCAAATATAAAATTATTAAGCATTTCACGATGGTAACCCCAGAGCATTAAACCCCCAAGCATAGGCCCTTGTGAGTGTAGGCCTTGTGTGATTGTACTGGTTACACACCCGTGAAGCTGGCCCTGTATGTGCTTTAGCCTGGTCTCTGGTCTTTAGTAAGGCCTCAGTAAGTGGTCAGGAGAGAGAGCCCAGCTTTGTCCACAGCTTACCTTAGGAATCCCTGAACTTAAGCCCTCACTTGAGCTTTGCATTTCCTGGTTCATGGGAGAGTCAGGGAAGGTGTTATTACCACCTTTGTACAAATGGGGAAACTGAGGCCCAGAGAAAGGATAGGACTTGGCCATGTTCACCATGCAGGTGGTAACAGAATCAGAAGTGAATGGTGATCTCCAAATTGTCAGTCAGTGTTGAGCCTCTCAGGTTCAGCTCCCCCTCTGGCCTCTTACCTGGGATTGTGAGTGGCAACAGCTCACGCAGCTTCCTTCAGGAGCACAACCCCTGACCCAGCTCCTACTAGCTTTCTGCACAAACCCTAGCTCAATGCCAGCCCACTCCAGAAAGATTTCCCTGCCAAGGACCTAACCATGGTATGTTTTTTTTTCCTATGCACATTCACCCCAAATTCAGTTATATGTAGTTTTATTTCCTGTGCTTTTTATATTACCAAACGAGCATATTTGTGGCTTATTAAATATTTTTAACCTTATTTATAATAGCTTCATAATATTCTATTTTAGGGAAACTCCATAATTTATTTGACAAATCCCCTATTGTTAGACACTCAGATTGTTTCAAATTATTTTTCAATTACTGAGGGGATGTACAAGTTCTAAACGGGGGATAATCACAGTACTGGTTCGTGGTTCATTGTGCTGATTAAATAAATTAATATAGGAATAGCATTTAGGAAATGAAACAAATAAGTATTGTATATGTGTTAGCTAAGGTTATTCTGTTAGGTCTATTATTTTGATAATACTGTAGTTGCTACCACTTTAAACACATAAGTGACTATTTCCTGGGTCAGAGGGGAGAGAATTGTGAAGGCTATCATAAAATATGTCCACAATTTATGGAGGGTATGCCTTGCCACTGACAAGGGAGATCAAGGGGGGCAAGAGGTGGGGTGGGATTGAGCCCCAGGCTTTGGCTGGAAACATCTGTCATGATCTGACTGTGATGCCTTAGGATGTTTGGATGAGTTTGTTCACCTCAGGGCTGAAAAGAGGAAGCATAGAAAGTGTGAAGACTTTTGAGAAGCTCCAGGAAGTATCTGTTAGCCCTGCCCAGAGACCAGTTTGCCCTCCAGCTCCAAATTGGTAAGTGGATATTTCCTCTGTTCTCTTGGCTCCTGCTATGACTAGTGAATTTGGGCCTTGGATACAAAGGCGTTGAGATAAAATTGGGTGGGACCATTGAGTCTTAGATAGCCAAAGATCTGCAATATTAGGCTGTCACTTCAGGTCAGCACTGGGTAGAGGAGCAGGGAATTAACAGCTGCCTTTATGGTTAGCCTGCCCCCATGCACCTCCTTTGCCTGCTGTCTTCCATCATGGAGCTGTGACTTTGTAACTTAAAAATAATTTGTCTTGGGCTTCCCTGGTGGCACAGTGGTTGAGAGTCCGCCTGCCAATGCAGGGGACACGGGTTCATGCCCCGGTTCGGGAGGATCCCATGTGCCGCGGAGCGGCTGGGCCCGTGAGCCATGGCCGCTGAGCCTGCGCGTCTGGAGCCTGTGCTCCGCAACGGGAGAGGCCACAACAGTGAGAGGCCCGCGTACCGCAAAAAAAAAAATAAAAAAAAATAAATTTGTCTTTTAGGATGTCCCTTATACAACACAAATAACCAGGGGAGTTATGTATTTCATAGAAGGATAGAATCATAGAATTTCAGAGGTGAAAGGGAGCAAATTCCATCTGGTATTCTTCTAGAGCAGGAATTCTCAAACATTCAGTTGTCAGAATCCTACCTCAGAATTACCTGGGAGTTTGTTAAAAAGGTAGATTCCTGGGCCCACACTCAAGAGTCTGATTTAGTGGGTGTTGAGTGGGTCCCAGGAATTTTCCCCTTTAAGAATAACCCCAAATAATTCATGCTGATACAGGTGGGCTACACTCTGAGGAACTCTATTCTATAATATCCCTAGCAGGTTGGTTGCCTCTAGTGTTGGGGAGCTCACCACCTCAGAAGACAGACTATTCCATTTTAGAACAGTTCTGACCATAGAAAGTTCTGTCTTATGTGGAACTGGAATCTGCCTCTGTGTAAATTCCACGCATGGGTTCTAATTCTGTCCATTAGAGCCATGCAGAAAAACTCCAATTCCTCTAGCCTTCTATGGGCAGGGGGACTTGAGAAATATGCACCCATAAGAGCTTGTGAGTCAAAGGTACATTGTAAGGGAGCCCCTAGGTCTCTAAGCCGGCTGGGCTTTGAGAAACTCATTTCCCCTTCTGACTGGGGTGGATGTCTCCTTCCAAACCCAGGTGGAGGTGTCCCCAAATCAGAGGGCAGACTCCCTGGGGAGGAGGAAAGGTGACCTTGGGCAGCTCAGGGGCTGCAAAAATCAGTTCCTGTGATCTCAGGGGATGGTGGAGGTGGGGCGCATGCCTGGCCAGGTGCACTCGTGGGGAGTTCCACAACCTGGGCTTCAGCCCAGCTCTGCCTCTAAGCCCCCAACAGATTCTCAGCAAGTCCCTGCCCCCTTGGGCCTCAGTTTTCACATCTACACAACCATCCTTTCCAGTCCTCTGCAGTCAGAAATCCCATCTTTAAAGCCCGGTGCTCTCTGATCTGGCCTTTTCTTTGCTACTCTGGCAGGTTGTCTGGTGAGGGTGTCAGGAGGGGAGGTGTCAGCGTTCTCAGGAGAGAATCTCGAGACCAAGTCTGAGAAGGGGCACAGTCGCCATCCAGCAGAGTGGCTCTCGTGGGTGCAGGGTGGGGATGAGTCATGAAAAACAGAGGGGTGGACCTTAGTGGCCATTGTCTCTGGAGCCTGTGCTCCCAGGTCTGGAGGCCCCCTCCCTGTGGGGCTCTGAGGAGGGGAGCCCTCCAGGCTTCTGGGCTGCTGGAGGCTGGCTCGGGAAGACAGAGAATAGGAAAACAAGGAGGGTCAAAGGGTCCTTATTCTACACCCCACCCTACCTCTCCGCCTGACCCACCTCCTTCCTTTGTTGGGAGATAACCTGAGGTTTTAGGCAAAGAGAACTCTGTGGGAGCACTGTCTCTCCGTGGGTTCTTGGGAAGGTCCTCTCACCTCCCTGGGCCTCTGTTTCCTCATCTGTCCAATGGGCTAGCAGTGCTGACCTCATAGGGCTGCCCATCGTAGAAGACAACATCCATAAACCCCCTCTGTAAACTGGTACATGCCAGGAAGATGCCAGCTGCTGTCAGTCTATTTGTTCTCAGCTTGGTATGCACAAAAGCAAGAAATCTCACTTAAGATGGATTTTGTCCTGCTCACCTGGGATTTTTTTCTCTGTATCCTGGGCATGACCTTCCGGGGAGCTGGTGGCAGAAGGGGCCATCTCAACAGGAAACTCTCCCCAGAGCTGCCGAGGTCTGACTAGGATTTAGAGAAAAACAATGGCTATCAAGAAATTTGGAGCCCCAAACCAACAACTCTGGGGTGAGAGGCCATGGCAGCCATGAGCAGAAACGGCCACTGGGGAACATGCATGTGTAGGTTGTTAAAGTGTGAATGGCCGAGCTCGGGCGTGCTACGTGCACACATATCATCCGTGGACACTCACTTGTCATTACGTACACCAGGTGCCTAGTATCCCTTCCCACAGCCCACACAGACCCAAAGGCTGACCCCAAAGGGTCCCCCAAAGGCAGAGGCTGCAGGTCATTCCTGGGGAGGCACTTGACTAGGGCCACCAGTCAACGCTGATGGGGGGAGCTGGGCTGTTTCCCTCAACTGTCATGTTCTACTTGGTCGGGGAAGAACCCCTGGACCGGGAGGGAGAAATCCGAGATTCTAGTTCACCCATGGCACCAATTTCCTTACTGTTTTTAGAGATGCCACTTACCTTCTCTGGATCTCAGTTAACTTCTCTGTGAAATGGGTCCACAGTCCCTTCTGAAAATGGCAGTAGGGCTCAAATGGAATATTCAATATGAAAGTGCTTTGAGAAAGCTGAAAAACCTGTGCACATGCAAGGAGGAGGGGAAGGGGAGAGGTGGGCAAGGGAGGAACAGACCCTGATGATTTCAGGTCACACCGTCAAGCCAGCCTCTCACCTGAGCATGTTTTCTCTTCACCACCCTCTCCAGGGTTTGGCAGAGATGATGACAAGGAGAAGGAGCAGGGCTTTCCTGGTGGTGCAGTGGTTGAGAGTCTGCCTGCCGATGCAGGGGACGCGGGTTCGTGCCCCGGTCCGGGAAGATCCCACACGCCGCAGAGCGGCTGGGCCCGTGAGCCATGGCCGCTGAGCCTGCGCGTCCATAGCCTGTGCTCCGCAACGGGAGAGGCCACAGCAGTGAGAGGCCTGCGTACCACAAAAAAAAAAAAAAAAAAGAGAAGGAGCTGCAGAAAGAGAAGGGGAAGCTGAAGCGTACACCCTGTGAGGAGCAGCAGAAGAAGGCTGAGCAGGTGGTGAGGCTCCTGTGCCCTCTCTGTGTCAGAACAGTTAGGAAATGAGATTTGCCAGGGTCACAGCTCATGTGGAGACTCTCTGGGGTGACTGTGCTGTCCCGGTTTGAGCTGCTCCTGGCAGGCAGATATCCTGGGATGAGGGAGGCTGGTTCTGCTCAGGCATAGAGGACCCAGGAAGGAAGCTGTTGGCCAACTGGAAAGTGACTTCAGCACTTGGTGAATGGACCGATCAATGTCACATGGCTGTAATCATGGATTCAAAGACCTCATACAAATTACTGAGTAGGGCTGAGAGGCTGGGGAAAAGGGGCTGTGGGCTTCATAGGGCATGCTTAGAGGATGCTGGCGCTGTGCCTAGACTGAGGAACTCTGCTCCTGATTCCTCTCCAGCCTCACCTTGGCTGGTCAGGGGAATGGCCCCAGCTGCATCTAAGGGTCATTTGTCTAAGTCCCGTGTCCAAGGAACAGCATTCCCAGATAACATTCTCCTTCTCCTCTGGCAATTTACCTTCCGAACAAACTTCTCTTTGAAGCCTGTGTAGAAGCAGATTAATGGATGCAGCTGCCTTCTGCCTTGGGCAGTTCCTGGAAAAGTTTTAAAGTAGGAACAGTTTGATGCTGCCCCATCATTTTTCTCTGGTTGCTTCTTCCTCCTCTTTCCTCCCCATGAAGCCTCTCAGTGATGGGGTGGTGGTGGTGGTAGGGGTGGGAGTGGAGGTTCTCCTTCCTTACACCTTTACCATACTCTCTGGAAAGAATCTGATAGCAGCCATTCATAGTTTAAGGTCAGAGACTTTGAGAAGCTAGTGTCAGAATTTGGACTAACATCTATATCTCTCTGTTGTGTGTACCCTCCCCTGGTCTTTACTGCCCCAGGATGTCTTTTTTCCCCCTACTATGCCACGGGCATAGTGCTTAGAGCTGTTCTCAATTTTTTAATGTCATCCTCCAAACAACGCAGTAGGTCTGTAGTATCATTCTAAATTACAGATGAGAAAACACGTTTAAGGAGCTCAAGAGACTTGCCCAAAGTTAACACAGCTGTGGGGTGGGGGATGTGGGGAGGATAGCTTCACATATGACTGTGTTTGACCATATTGCCTATCCACACATGAAACGTGAAAGCCCGACCCCATCCATTTAAAGGTTCACTGTCTCTCCCTCAGGATCTCCCCAGTCCCATCAACCTAACACAAATGAGCTACAATTATGTCAGGGCATCTTGGAATGAACTTGGCTGGACCAGAATCCTGTGGCATAAGCAGAGAGGAGGGGAGGGTAGAAGGATCCTTGCTGGCCCCAGGGGCAGGAGAGAGGGGCTTTGTTTCCAGCCCTGCCACTAAGCAGGTGGGGTACCTTGAGTACATCTCTTACTGTGTTTATGGTTTAGTTTCTGCAACTGTAGCTCTAGAAATAAAAACTCACAGGAAGTAAAACTTAGGTTTCCAGGATATTTGGCTCCATCTTCTGGACAGTACCAATCACTGCGACTTTTGCAGTGTGGTCATCCACTGTGGACATCAGGTAATGTTGAGTCTTCTGGGAAACTTCTGGTCACTGTGGGGATTAGGGGTGCCTGGGGCAGAGCCAGAGCTGACCTGAAAGTCCAGGGAATTTCTGTGGCCTCTGGGTCACACTGGCCCTCTGCTGCTAGGGGCTGGGCAGAAATTCAGGGAGGGAGAAGCCCCAGTGCCAGACTAGGAGGGACACTGGAGGCCACGGAGTCTAGCCCCACCAAAGGACAGGCAGGGACAGTGAGGCCTGGGGAGAAGTAGGGCCTCACTCCAGGCTACACACATAGGTCTCCTGATACCCAAATCTAGCCTGCTGTCTGCCTAGCTCCCTAGCAGCCCCCTTCTCCAAGGATTCCATCCCAGCTGGTCACTTCTTCTCATCCTCCTGAGACAGGAACATCTGCTTAATAAGCACGCTGCTCCATCCACTTGCTCCCATGACAGCCCACCCTCTCCTGGTCCCAGCTCCAGCCCTGACTGGGTGGGGCGTCCTTCTACCTCTCCAAGCCAGGGCTTTCCTGGAGGAGTTGGGGGCATGGAAGGAAGAGGGAGGCAGAGACCTGCTTCTCCTCCAGCTCTGCCTCTCCTCCACTTCCAGCCCAGCCTCTCTCAACCTCAGTTTCCCCATCTGACACACAACCAACCACTACACCAGATTCCTGAGAAGATTAAGTGGATAGTTGGTGTGAAGGTGCTTTGTGAATTCTTGAGCCCTCTAAGAAAGTATTAAATTTCCAGACCTATGAGTCCTCCCTAAGCCACACAGGACCCCAGGTGCTAATTGGAACCCAATTAGCCCACAGGCTATGGGAGCCTCCTCAGAGGAGGGAGATGCGCCGTTCTTCTAATCTCATGGCTTCAGGATCTGGGGCTTCCTTGCAGAGTCTAGGGTTGAACTCCCCCCTCCCACCCAGATTCTGCTTATTTCTGGAAGATGAGTGAGTCCCAGTCTAAGAGAGTTTCTTAGAGGCACTTCCACTGACCTGGAAGCTAGCCTTTGAAAGCCCAGGAGCTGTAATGGGAGAGGCAGAGGAGGATCAGTTTGCCCGGTGTCTTCCTTTCCCTTGTCTGGACATAAGGTCCATGGCCTCTAGTTTAGATGAGTGAGGGCCAGAGAAGCAGCTGAGGAAGAGGGGAAACCTTTCCCCGCTTGAGTCTTGAGCTCCCACTGCAGTCTTGATTTCGTTTGAACTTCAGAGTAATGGAGAAACTGGAGGCAAGAAGGGATGGTTGAGGTCATCCAGAGCAGCCCTGCCTTTCTTGCATACTCCCAAAGGTGGGGGGATCACTACCTTTCCTAGGAAGCCCAGTTCCTCCTAAGGCAGCTCTAACCCTTTGAAAAGTCCCGCTCAATAATGCTAGAGGGAAGTTCTGAGACCACTTGTACCACAGTCCCCTGGAGTGACTTGCTAAATTAAACCATCTGGGACAGGCCTGGAATCTGCATCTGTGAGCTCCAGGAGACATTGGTCCACCTCTGTTGCCCCGGGAATGACAGCCCCCCACTCTCAGCACCTGCCCTGGACACAGTTCTGCCAACCCTTTCTGACAGGACATGATTTTCTCTTTTCTCAGCATTCTGCTCTGTCACTTCTTAGGTTCTTCTCTCTTTTTCCTGGTCTCCATGCCTGTTTTGTAAATAGAACATCATAGAATTTGGGGGCTAGAAGTGTTCTTAACAGAACACCTTATCCAACTCCTCATTTTATAGATGGGGTATTTGAGACCCAGAGAGGGCAGAGTCTTGCCCCAGGTCACACAGCTGTTCCATGGGAGCTAATAGGAGACACAATCCCATGACTCCTAGTGAGTGCCCTTCCTACGGTGCAGTTCTGTCCTGCTGTAAAAGCTGCGTTGTAGGGCGATGCCCATCCCAGACTCCTTCTTAGATGAAGCCATCGTGGTGTCATCACAGGACCCTCCCTGGCCAAAACTGACTGGACTGGGAGTGGTCGTCTGAACTCTGAGCTGGGCCAGTCAGATTTTCTCTTGAAATAGAGTTGTTGCTGAGGGTCACAGATGCTATTGAGCCCTGGGGCTCAGAGGCCAAGCAGAGTCCAGTGTTGGGGGCTGGGGTGGCAATTTGTGTGCCATGCATGCTGAGGAGCAGGTAGATAAAGAGGGCCTGCGGAGAGAGACGGACCGGAGATGGGAGACGGTGCGATGCGAGAGAGAGGGAGAGGGAGAGGGAGGCCCTTAGAGGGCGAAAGAGATTGCAATAAACATCAGATAGAGACAGAGACACACATACAGATGGAGAGAGACAGAGAGATAAACACAGAGAGACACAGAGGGAGAGACTGGAATAGAGATGTGTGCGTGTGCGTGTGCGTGTGTGTGTGTGTGTGTGAGAGAGGGAGGGAGGGAGGGAGAGAGATATTAACTTAGAGAGACAGAGACAATGAAAGAGAAAAAGTCAAAGAGACAAAGACAGAGGCCCTGGCACTCGGTATTTTTCTGTTTTTTTCCCAAGGTCCAGCTGCCTCCCTGCCCTTGCTTGCCTTCCGTGAGATGCCCCGGAATCTCTCTCCAACCACCTTTACACTTGAGCGAGCTTCAGTGGGTTTCTGCCTCTGGCCATGATGCAATTCCCAACCAACCGGGCCCTGGAGGGGTTACTGGGTAGGGGTGGGGCTCACAGGAAGCAAAGGCTACATTCTGCTCATCAGACCAGCTGTCATTTCTCCTTACCTCCAGGACCTGGGCATGACTCTACTCCTCAGCAGATGCAGCAGAGCCACCGGCTCCCATGGTGGGCTGGTCTCCCGTCAGCAGCGGTCTTCCTGGGAGCAGACTCCCTGCCTGTCCACAGCTGAGTTAACGAGGCCCACGCTGTGCTCATTGTCACCTCCAGGCCCATGTTCACTTGCTGTCCTTCCTTTCCCAGGACTGTCCTCTCAGCCCAGGCCACGCCCCACTCACCTTTCCACTCCTCCAGGAAGCCTTCCTAACAGCCCATCTTGTGGCACACACGAATCCTTCCCTTTCTAAATGTTCACTGTACCTCTTCTCTCTCTTTTGTTCTTTAGTGCGTATCGCTCCAAAATTATGTCACATAAAGGGCTATTACGCTAAGTTATAAGCCCATCAAACTTACCACGTGAGTGGAAAAGGAAATCATTGAATTTGTATGTTTGGGACAATAAGAGCTATTCATAATATAGAAGGTTATTTGGATGCTGTGAATCTTCTAGCACTTGTTACTGAGTAACTCATTTGATCCTCATGACTGTTTACAAAACAGGAACTGGGGGCACAGAAAAGTCACTTGTTAAAAGGTCATGTCTATAGTCAAGGACAGAGGGCAAAGGAGATTTCATGATAGATTCCTCCCCCTTCCCACTTGGCTAGCCGCCACCTAACAGTCCACCACTGGGATTTTGTCCTTTTGTTTTAAAGCTGTAATGCCTGTCAAATACAGATTTTTTTTTTTTTTTTTTAACAGAGGAAGAAAACATTTCCAGACCATCAAAAATTGCCTCCTTGAGAGACAGACATCTGAATAACCAGCACCCTCCTGTTTTCTGAGTGTGTCCTATGCAATGCTAGTTCCTTGGGATGTTAAGTAGGTTTTACTAAAAAAAAATTTTAAAAAAACAAAGGCAATTCAGTGTGGGAAGCACCAGATTAAACTGCTGTCTTTGCAGCACGACTGCTCAGTGCCTTAGTGTGCTGCAGGGGCCGGGGGAGGGGGGCACTGCAGGTCTGTAAGAAGGGGAGAAATGTGCTATAGTCACTAAACAAATTTGACCGTGACCTCTGTTCTTACAGATCACTTCTCAAATTAAGCTTCCATGGACCCTTTGTAGAAATGCTGCCTGAACTCACCACTGACCACAGTTTCTAGTTTTTTAATGCTTCCTGTGGACACCTACCTGGCTGCCCTTCGTTTGCATTTGGTGGTGCTGCCTGCCAGGTGGCTTCTCAGGTAGACAAGGTTAACCCAAACTACTCACATTCTTCTGCCTGGATTCCCTGTCATCAATCAGGTTCCTTCACAGGGTCAGGACTGTGGAACAGCTGGCCCCTTCTGTTCTTGCCTGACCGCATGCACTCACTCACTCTTTTAGAAAATGGTTTTAGCACCTCCAAGACCCTGGAGAGGTCCCTGAGGGGATCAGAGCCTGCTCCTGGCCTGGGCTCTGTTTGGGTGGATCAGATGGACACACAGGGAAGGGGGAGGGACACAGGATGGAAGGAGAGCTCACTTCCAGCTGGGGGGTGGGGTGGGGAAGCTGGGATTCTGGGAAGTTACCCAGGGAAGGTCCCCTCAGAGCTGGGCCTGGAAGGGCAACAAGAGGTAGAGTTTGTGGCCAAGAGCGGGCAGGACTCTTGGGGTATCTTGACAGGTACCTTGACCCCTCCCCCTCTCTGGCTGTGGAGAGTGGTAGAGCCCACAGTAGCTGCTAAGAAGGGGCTCCAGGAGGGTGGGACCACCAGGGTCCCCGGGTAGGAGGTGCCCTCCTGTGCTCTCCTCTTCCATGGCTAACTTGAGAAGGAGGAAGCTTCTGTGTCTGGGACTCCGGGGGCCATGGCCAGGTTTGTCTTGTTTTCACTGTACCCCCAACACCAGCAGAGGGACCCTCAGACCTTGCTGGGTGAATGGACGTGCACCCTTTCTCCAGTCTTTTTCTCCCTGTGGTGCTTTCTGTTTGTCCAGGGACTTGTTCTGGCACCGGGCCATGAATCTACTGAGGAGCGAGCCCCTCCAGAAACTCGCTCATTTTCATGAAGACCTGAAGGTTCACAAGTGCGTTTACACAGGATCAAGTGTGTTGGAGCGTCAGAGTCGACTGAGCATCAGGAGGGTGTCCGGGTAGCCAGGATGGCAGCAGGTCAGGACTGTGGCCATGAGCCAGCCCATCAGCAGAGGGGCCTTCTACGTAAATATTTCTGAGTAACTTTGTAAATAATATATCAGTCGTGGACAGCAGTCCCGCCTTATCCTCAGTTTCACTTTCAGCAGTTTCCGTTACCCATGGTCAACTGAGCTCCAAAAATATTAAAAGGAAAATTCCAGAAGTAAATAACTCATAGGTTTTAAATTGCACGCTGTTCTGAGCAATGTGGTGAAATCTTGTGTTGTCCCGCTTCGCCCCACCCAGGACATGAACCATCCCTCTGTCTAGCTATACTGTCCATTAGTCACTCAGTAGCCAACTTCGTTATCAGATCACTTGTTGAGGTATCACGGTGCTTGTGTTCAAGTCACCCTTATTTTACTTACTAATGGCTGGAGCAGTGATGCTAGCAATTCGGATATGCCAAAGTGAAGCTGTGAAATGCTTCATCTAAGGGAAGAGGGGAAAGTTCTCAACTTATTAAGAAAAGATGAAATTGTATGCTGAGGTTGCTAAGATCTGTGGTAAGAATGAATCTTCTATCTGTGCAATGGTAAAGAAGGAAAAAGAAATTCATGCTAGTTTTGCTGTGCACCTCAAATTGCGAAAGTTATGACCACAGTGCATGATAAGTGCTTAGCTAAAACGGAAAAGTCACTAAATCTGTCCAATAAGATATTTTGAAAGAGTGAGGCCACATTGACATAACTTTTATTACAGTATATTGTTATAATAATTGTATTTTATTATTAGTTATTGTTGTTAATCTCTTACTGTGCCTAATTTATAAGTTAAACTTTATCATAGGTATGTATGTATAGGAAAAAACAGTATATACAGGGTTCGGTACTATCCGTGGTTTCAGGCATCCACGGGGGGTCTTGGAATGGACCCCACGGGGATAAGGAGGGACCCCTGTATCAGACAGCACACAGATTCTGGAATCCAGCTTGCCTCAAGTCCCAGGCCCACTATGGCCAGGGTGAACCTATTTATCCAGCCTTTAACTCCTTCTACGTAGAATGAGGAGACTGTCTTTCTAAAAAGATGATTGTACTGAGTGAGACCAGGCTTGTCCAAGTCCTGTGCTAGTTAACCAGCTGCTGTCACCCAAGGAAAATGACCACCCTAAGGCCTTTCTGGACCCTGGGCCCTGTGACCACAGGTCCTCATGGGGTTTTAGTTCCACATTCTTTTTATGTTGCTCTGAAACCTGCTTCCCTATAACACTGTCCCCTCTTCACACCGGGTTTTAATATCTCCCCCTGAGCCTTTCTCTGCAGGATGACAGCTTCTCAAATAACCTCAAGTGCATCATGTCAGCAACTTGAGGCTTGGTTCCCACATCTGTAAGATGGCCATATTGTCAGAGCTTTCGGGGATTAGTCAAGGAATGTGTATACAAGTGTACGATGCACATGGACACGATATGTATAATACAGGTACATGCATTTCCGAGCACAGGGCCTGGCTCATGTGCTCATTAATTGAATGGCTGGCGTTTCGGATCCCATTGCCCTGGTCCACACCAAATTGATAAAATTCCTCACCAGGGGGATCAGAGGAGGCTTCCTGGAGCAGGTGGGACTTGAGCTGGGCTTTGAAGGACCGGAGAATTTCCAAAAATATGCAACAGTGGGCATGAGATTGGATGCGGTGGAGGGAGGTTTGGAATAGAGAAAAACAATCGGAAAGTTTTGAGGTTTGCTCAGAGGACAGAGAGGAGGCCTGAGTTGTTGGTTTGTTGAGAGAACTAGAGGGAGATAAACCTGAAAGAACAGGGTATAGCCCTGGGATCATAAAAGGTAGAACTGGAGGAGGCCTGGAGGTCACCTGGCCCAGTGTCTTACCTGCAGTGGGAATACAACAGGTGACTTGGTAGTAAGAAGAGAGCCTGGTCTGAGGCTCAGCTCTGCTGTGGGTTCTTGGATAAATTACGTATCTACATCTCTGATCTGGATTTCTCCTCTTTGTGATGGAAATATCAATACTAATCCTTGCCCTGCCTACTCTGTAATTGTTAGGAGGATTTCGTGAGCCTTGGGCTAAGGATTTACTAAGAGATTCTGGGCAAGTGGCGCTCATCTCCTCTGTGGGCCTTGATTTTACTGTTTGCAAAATGAAGACCCCGTCTGCCTCCAGGGTGCCGGAAGGCTGTGAGTCCAGCCAGGAGATCAGCACCCCAGAGGGGAGAGGAAGGTGACCTGGGAGGGCATGGGGGAGTGGAGGGGCTGCTGCTCTAGAAATAACCTGGGTTCTTCCCCTTTTTCCCACCCTCTTCTCAGAAAGGACCAGCCTATTTTGGTGGCTGCTGTGGGTCCCAAAGCTGGAATTCTGTCTCCTCCCCGTGGCATGGGTTACATAGCTTGCAGGTGACAAGCTCTGTGAGGGTTGAGAATCAGGCTTATCTGCCCTGCACACCTAGCCCCTGGCCATCCTGGCCCTTCCCGGAAGGAGGGGCTGGGGAGCCGTGCCTGTTCCTCCTCTCCCCCATCACCTCTCCATACCCTGCTGTTCTGACCACCCCTACTTCTTCTGTTAGCACTGGCACAACAGTTTCCAGAATGCATCCTCCCCGCCCCCCCACTGTGAGGCACACCGGCCAGGACTCTTGGCCACATTTCATGGGCAGGGACACAGAAACTGAGCAAGGCCAAAGGACATGCCCTTCTGGTAGAACTAGAACTCCTACCTTGGTGCTCTCTGCACTGTGCTGGTGACTCTAAAAGTTTGAGTATAAGAATCACATGGGGGCTTCCCTGGTGGCGCAGTGGTTAAGAGTCCGCCTGCCGATGCAGGGGACACGGGTTTGTGCCCTGGTCTGGGAAGATCCCACATGCCATGGAGCAGCTGGGCCCGTGAGCCATGGCCGCTGAGCCTGCGCGTCCGGAGCCTGTGCTCCGCAACGGGAGAGGCCACAACAGTGAGAGGCCCACATACCTCAAAAAAAAGAAAAAAAAAGGAAAAAAAAGAATCACATGGGACTTAGCTAAAATGCAGACTCCTAGACCATCATCCCTGGAGAGCAGATCTGGAGCAACTTCAGTAGTGCCTGAGCATCTGTATTTTTTTTTTAATTGAAGTAGAGTTGATTTACAATGTTGTGTTAATTACTGTTGTATAACAAAGTGATTCAGTTATACATACATATATGTTCTTTTTTTAAATATTCTTTTCCATTACGGTTTATCATAGGATATTGAACATAGTTCTCTGTTCCATACAGTAGGACCTTGCTGCTTATCCATTCCATATAAAAGCCTACATCTGCTAACTCCAACCTCCCACTCCATCCCTCCCCCAAGCCCCTCCCCCTTGGCAAGCACCAGTCTGTTCTCTATGTCC